CTTCCACCCTGGGTTAGGATGGACCTGGGAACACCAATTAAGAGGTGGTTCAACTCTCGTCAAAACATCCTGATCAGAGGCCTTGCTGTCAGATATAGTATAATGTCTTAACCAGGACACAGATGTAGATTATTGTAATATCCAGGACAAATTGACCTCAGTTAACTATATGCCAATAGCTGGGACCGCAACAGGAGCTACCACCCTGGGTCAGGGTGGACCTGGGAACACCTGCACTTAAGCGGTGGTTCCACATTCCTCAAACTTCCTGATCAGAGGCCTTGCTGTCAGATATAGTATAATGTCTTACCCAGGTCACAGATGTAGTTTATTATCATACTGTCATGCCATATTACCTATTCTATTGTAATGGACTCTCCCACAGATAATAAGTAATAAGTGGTAGTAGCAGTGGCCCGTGGAGGTCAGTGGTGTTGAGCCAGTCAGACGATATCGAACATTGAAGTACCAACCATCACAACTAGATTGCAGCATCATTAACTCTTATTTTCCAAGTTCCTAACATTTTGTACGTCGAACCTAATTTAGGACGACTTATTTAAATACAAGCCTCCACTGTGAAAACTACTCCACAAAATTACTCCAATTAACTATTTGTCCATAGCTGTGATCGTAACAGGTGCTACCACCCTGAGCCAGGGTGGTCCTGGGAATGCCAGCAATTAAGAGGTGGTTCCACGCTCCTCAAAACCTCCTGATCGGAGGCCTTGCTGTCAGATATAGTTTAATGTCTTACCCAGGACACGGATGTAGTTTATCGTCTTACCCAAGACGCAGTAAGTATTGTGTATCACACAGATTTAGTAAACAAAAAGGAAAAAAAAAACCTTTAAAATATTTAAGATGATTTAAGTATTTTTGAAGTTATTTTTTGTTTTTATTTGAAAACTAACTCTTAAAAGAAAAAGAATTTTATATAACCTTATTTGTCTTTTAAATAGGATAAAGAATCTTGACAAAGTTTTTAAGAAATTTGACAAATTGAAAATGTTTCAACTAGACTTGATTATATGTCTTGTCTTTCTAGGCTTCATCACATCCAAAAACAAAAGGAAGAAATGTGTGTGTGTATGTATTTGTATGTATGTTTAAATAATGGATTATAATATATTTTCCCTAAGCTTTATTAATATATTAACAAATTTTGATATGAACTAAGAATTATAAAGAAAAGATACTGAAAAAATATTAACAGCATTTTTAAAAGTCACTCATTTTCTTTTTTTAATCATGAGAAACACCAACTTCAGAAAAAAATACATTATTCATTATTGAAACATACACACACACATTTCTTTCTTTCGCTTTTGGATCTGATAATGCCTAGAAAGGTGAAACACATAATCAAATCTAGTTTCAATGAAACATTTTTCTATTTGTTAAATATCTTAAATAATCTTATATGAAATAAGGTTTCATACATTTCTTAAACATTGGCACAGTCATAAATCACACTTCAACACGTCAAACCTCCATGAGTGAAAAAAATGAAAATAAAAAATTAAAAAATTTGATCTCCGTCCTAGAGATTTGTTAAGAAAAAAATTAGTAAATCAATTAACTGGATTTCGGAAAAAGTTTTACATAAAATATAATGAAAAATAGTTTTATTTGCAGTAGTGATTCTCAACCTGTCATCAAAAGTCATCAGTAGGTGTGTATGATTCGTAAACTTAACGAATCAGCACATATGCTAGGCCACAAAAATCTCCTGAGCTGACCAAGTATAGAAATGGATACAATATGGGAACCAGTAATAAGGAGTACCAGAGAAAAATGATAATAACAACAAAAAGTTGCAATATGAATGAACTCTGGTAAAAACATGCAATGATAACAGCAAAAAATTGCAATATGAGCACTGGTAAAAACAGCTGAAGACATTAGGTTTATAATACCCAGATGTTTAATCAACTTCATTACTACTACTGGTTATGAGATAGTTTTGGGAAAAAAAATATCCCTGATTTAAAATCCTACAATACCAAACAGCTCTAATACAGATGTAGATAAAATAAACACACACACAGGCAGAAAGATACTCTCTAAGCCTGGACATTAAGATGTGATAAGCTAAAGTAATTAATTTAAGTTATGATATTATTATCTTCAGAGATCCCAACTCATTTTCCTCACACACAGTTTTGTCTTTCATTCATTTTAACCTGAGGAAGTCAGAGGGAGCATATGCTCTCCATTGAAACGCCTCATTAAAAAAAAAAATTCACTTTGTCTCATCTCTTTTGCTTCAGATCATATTATGCATCCTACAAACACATAATTCTAACTTTGTAAAAGTTATAAATTTTCAAATTTGTTGTTTTTGGTTGCTTCTAGTTGATCATGTGATAGGTTTTCATAATGTGTATTTAAATACAGTGCTAACCAATTGCAAGTGCATTCAGGTGCTCTCAGATGACTGTAAGTGTGTAAAACTTGTGCATGTGTTTGAGTGTTTCTAGCTGAAATTTTTATTGTGCTTTTATTGTGTTAAATTTTCATTTGTTATTGTTGTGTCGGAAACCTACCACCCCTCTTGAAGATGAACTTGTCTGCGAACAAAGACGTTAAATGGTGACATGTCAGAAGACAGGAGACGGAGCAGTTCTTAGCTGAGCTAGTGATTGACTACTCAGGCGATTTCTGTACCTATTTACCAACCTATTAAAACCCTTTTTATTGTTATGTGTTATTTGGCGTTTATCTCTACTAACTCCAAATCAACATCATAACAGTTATCTACATAAGTGTATTTTCCATGCAAGTTATTCCTCGTAATAATGTCTGTTATGCATTGGAAGCAAGATACCATGTTAATAACCCCAAATGGAATATGGCAAAACTGGTATAATTTGTTGTTCGCTTCAAACACAGTGTATAGTTTGTTGTCTCCTCAAATGGGTACCTGGTGATATGTGGTTTTCAAATCCAAAGAAGAATAAATTTTATATTTAGAGATTTCTGAAGCCAGATTGCCCATTCGTTGTAGGGTCTAAGTGTCAAGTCGAGTGAATCTATTAATAGTTCTACTATAATCCACAACTAATCTCTTTTTATGCCATTTGTTATCTACAATTAAAATTTGAGCTCATCAAAGAGACATGCTTTCCTCAATTATTCCATCTCTTAGTATTTTATTAACCTCAGTTTTAATAAAGTGCTTATCGACAGTTCCAAATTGCCTAGATTTCATAGAATTAGGTTTGTGGTTAGGATCAAGATTCTAAAATAATGGAAGTATATCTACCATCACAGATGATAGGCTACAAGCAGTCAAACTTGAAATAGATGGGCTTTTCTCAGGATCACTAAATGCAAAAGATACACTAGAATGATGGTTTATGAAGTCTTGCCTGAGAATTACATCACTACAAAGACTGGGAAGTGTGACCTTCAAATTGTATGTTCACTACCCTTTTATTGGAGTGATAAAGGACGACAAAGCCACAGACACATTCCCAAAAACAGGTTTTATTTTTATTTGGTGTCTTTTTGCATAGTCAAGCAAAATAAAGGATCCAGAGCTACCAGTGTCCATTAAAGTAGGAGCCTCATTTTTGCCAATCAATACGTACACTGTAGCCTGTTTTAATAAACTAGATAGTGCATTGATCACAAATGTATAAGATTGAGTAAGTGAGGTGGCCAAGTACCAGCTGACTGACATACTTTGGAAAAGTGCCTTTTTTGTGCATTTGTAATACGTGGTGTCTGGTTGGGCACATTTTACAACTCTGACGTGATCCGTCACAAAAATAACATTTAGTGATTGTTAAGGCACATGTATCGGTGACAAATGAATCTTTGTTTTCTGATGCTATGGCTTCCACAGTTAGTGAAGGCAGATTTGAATATGATTCTGATTTTTTCTGTGCTAGGTATAGAGCTCTGGCTTGATTAACTGCCATGTGTAGATCAAGGGTTTTGTTTTCTAAAAGACGCTGTCAAATGGAATTAAAGTGCAAGCCAATAATGAATGCGTCTTTAACGCAGTCTCAGTTTTGAGCAGCGTTAACTGCTTTGAAACTACAAATCTTTAGCTAGTAGTTGTAACCCCCTGAACATGTCAGTATCTTCGTCTTTATCCATGCATTGCTACAACATGTCCGGCAAAGATTTTGTTCGTGGGTTTCATGTATAATTCTTTGTGGTGATTTACAGCAGATTTGAAAGTAGCATACTCGGCCATATGGTCATAGATGTCCGAGGAAATGCTCTTAATTAAGGTAACCAATTTGTCTTGTTTATCATCTACAATATCACCTGTAGTTTTTTGTAGGAATGAAGTAAAGTTCCAATACCAATGATTGAAGATTTCAGTTGCAGAGGATGAGTTAGGAGATACAACTAATCTCCTAACTCAATTCACTCTTATTACTAAATTGTAACAAGGAACAGAACTAAAGAAGTACCTTGACGAAAGCTTAAATAAAATGGCCATGACATGGCTAAGAGCAAATAAGAATACAAGTAAAAGTGTATATATATATATATATGGTACAGCAGAAGGTGCATAATTCTGGAAGAGTCCAAATTGGGGAAAATTAATGCTTATGCCATTGGCCTTAAAGGGTAAAAACTGTTATTTTGTTTAAAATGATGAGTTTTTTATGAATAAAATAAAGCACATTCCTATGAATGAAGTATAAATATGCCTTTTGTAATCTTTGATATTTCTGTTGTTAAAATGTTTCAGTGTTGTGTTTTTTTTAATTTATTAAACAATTTTTTACTGTTTGATTTGTTTTACTGCTTTTTTTTTTATTTACAAACTACATTTTTTTTTCTATTTTTTCTTTTTTAGAAAAATGAATAACACAACTGTTCCAGAATATGGTTCCTTGAATAAGTTGTATTCTGCTTTAATAGAATGCTTTACTTTGATACTGGCTGGTTACTTGGCTGGCTGTACTGGTATGATCAAGCCAAAATATGGTACTGGAATCAAGGTGTTTGTCTGGAACCTGTGTCTTCCATCCATGGTTCTTCTTGGAATGTGGGAACTTAATTTTCATGAAGTCAACTGGAAGTTTCTTTCTTGTATCTTTATTGCGAAAGTTACCATCTTTTGTTTGGTACTGGTTATCACCCTTCTTGCCTATCGACCAGTAAACCTTGGTGTAGCTGGAATTTATGGTATTTTTACCACTGCAAGCAATGATTTTGCTCTGGGTTATCCAATATGTAAGTAAAATGATCAGATCTGCTTAAATGTATTTATTTTTTTTAAAACAAATTTTAATATACAATTGGCCCTCAACATTCTACAAATTTGGAAAAGCCCCAAATAACTCTAGCCTTTTACATTTTAAACCTTAACTCCTAATGCTGTTGACCATAATTTTAACATAATCATATCTTAAAAATGTGATACCATGGACACCCACATAGAAAGAGAAGAGGTGATTTTATCTCTCAAATGTTTCGGTTTGATGGACCAGCAGATGGTTCCTTTTGAAATTCAGATTTCTAAGTGGCATCCACTTTGACCAAAGGTTAATGTGGAAATAAAGCGGTAAATGAGGGTTTTATTTTGAGATCAAGTGGCAACAAAACCGGAAATGGAGTATATCTAGGTGCTGGCCTATATTAAGTCATACTTGGTATTAGAGAGAGTTCTGGTTCACTCTTGGCAGGAGATGGTGTTGTGCGATTCTGAAGCCTCCATTCATATTGCCAACCTTATTGTACACTAGAACACTAACCATCAATTAAAGTTACACCATTACTAACCATGGGTATGTCATACCTGATTTTGAAAATATCAAAATAAAAATTAAATATAAATCTTTATTTGAAATATTTTACATGTAGGCACTTCAAACTTTGTACTTTGAGTTAACATTAATAGGAACTGAAAAACATTATTTAGGTAAGAAAATCAGATACTGAAAATTTTAATTAAAAATGGGAAAATTTATGCTGGGTTCTATGGTTAGTGTTCTAGGGTTAAATAGGTTACAAACGGACGAAGGTGGTACTCGAGTGAAGGAACGGCATCATCTGTGTAGATGAAAGAAGAGAGGTTTATTGTAAAAAAAGAATACACTACTGAAAGACAGGGAATTGGGTGGCAGGCTAATAATTCACGAAACAAGCCCCCCAGGTATATCCTTTGCTCACTATATATAGCTACTGATATAGTCAGTTCACATAGGCGATAGGGAGTGTGGGACATTCCATTACAACAATCGGTAACTATAAAAAAATCAATTTTGAATTACTATAGTTAAACTAAAAAATGTTTTTCCACAGTAATTGAGTATTATGTATGCACTAATCGAATTTTGGTATGTAAAAATTTTAGCACACTAATCAAAAACGCATTAATCAAATGATGCCTGTATAAAGATTATTTATTTTATTTTTTTGTTTTTGCTTTTTGTACAAACTAATTATTTTCTTTTTAAATTGATTTTTACATTTCACATTTTTGTTGTTCATTATTACTATATAACAATTATGTTATATTAATTTATAACATGTTGTATTACTCTATAACATTTATGTTGTATTACTTTTTGAAAGAAAGTTGTATTACTCTATAACAAATACATTTGATTACTCTATAGCAAGTATGTTCTATAACTCTATAACAGTAACATTATATTACTTTATAACAAGAATTACTCTATAACAAGTTATATTATCTATGATAATTACATTATATTACTATATAACAATGTTTTTATATTACTCTATAACAGCTTACATTACATTACTCTATAACAAGTTATATTATCTATAACAATTATGTTATAATGCACTATAACAATTGTTATATTACTCTATAAAAAGTTATATTACACTATAAATATTGCATTATATAACAAGTATTATACTATAAAAAGTTACATTATGTTATAACAAGTATTACTGTATAACAAGTGTGTCAAAAGTCTGATCTTTACAAGATGGCACATAAACTGTATGACATGAGGTTGATTCAACATTGATAAAACTGGTCAGCCTGTGGTTTAGTGGATTGAGCATGTGAACTATACATGTCTTCTACCTTCTTTGTACACATCAGTCTCACCTTATCTGGACAGCCAAATAAATGCCTCACAGCAATTAAAACTCTGAAGACAAAGTCCTGTTCATCAGCAGGTTTATTAAAGTCCAAAAGGGTAAAACCAGAAAAAGAAATAAATACAAATATAATAAGCAGGGGAAGAAGGAATATAACAAAGTAGACAAAAAAAACTTAAGGGTCTTAATGGGTAAGGAAAGTAGTAAGTTTTTTGCTACATGAATACATTACAATGTTTGCAGTATAAGTTCTCAGAAAGGAAGAAAATTACATAAAGTCATAATTTGAGAAATGTGTTTAAACAGCTGAGAAAACAGAGAAATGCAACAGTAAAATAAATTCACCCCTGAAGATGATCTCAGAAGATTGAAAGTACTTGGGGAAATGAAAAATGAAAGTGATTATTATAGTTAGAGCACATTTGTCACATCATTTAATTGCAATACATGGAAGGTTATTTGTGAGTATGAACGAATTTTAGTAAAAATAAGCAGATTTAATGTCTGTAATTTATTTAATCAGACTAAAAAAAGTAAAATAAATGTATAAAAGGTTGTTATCTTAAACAATGTTCAAATAATAACATGACATTAAAGGAGACCAATGCAAAGAGAAAAGGTTTTATTGGTTACATACTGTGTGATGCTATCATTGGGGGTAAGATTTAGGAGGATAAAAAGATTATGAACCATGTGCTTGAGCCAGTGTTTTATTATGCCGGTTTTAGTGACAAATAAGGGCTAACAGGAAGTGGTTAAAAGCACTGACTAATTTAAACTATATCTAAACTGAAAAGGGAGTTTAAACAAACTACTGTAGTAACAGAACAGCAACATTACCAAGATTGAACAAATCCTTCTGCTGCATTTGAGAGGAGGAACCCTTGCAGCATATTGACAGCTGAACAAAGAGTAGAAGGCTGATATTGGACAGATTAAATAAACCCTAGTAGCTGCATTCACAAGTGACTCGTTTGTGGCATACAAATAATTTATAATGTGGTGTTTACACCCTGGTGAAATGGTGGTCATATTCTTGGCAGAACTGATGAAGCTTGCTGTACTAATCAAAAAACTGCCAGAACAAGGGATGATTTGTGCATTTATGTCAGGACTGTCAAGCTGTCTCAAGTGTCCACTTCAAGTCTCATCCAGAATTGATAACATGACCTTGTACCAACTGCTAACCAATGTCCACATCATCATAACTGATGAAAAAGAATCTGAGGAGCCTGTTGTTGCAGCCAATGGAAACCTTGATGACCCACTACCAATCATCATAATAGTATTACCTGTTACAAATGGTCTGAGCACAACCATTTAATCAAGGACCGACAATATGAATGTGGAGAAATATATGATGGTTCAGTCCTAAAGGCACACACTGATATATATTACTTTTGATACCACAACATCAGCCACATTGTATTGAAGTGTCTGGTAAATAAACTAGGAGACATGATAGCACCAATTTCATCCCCTTGCAAGTCCTGAAAGAGGCACTCCCTATGATTGAAATACTTATCGATGGAAAAATGTACCACCCTGGTGGAGTTTGGTTGTTCTTGGTTGCTTAACAGGGGTTTGGTTTGTTGCATGTGGAGTAAGCAGGAAAGTAAGTACCAATGTGAATTGCTAGAGTGGCTGGATAACACCAATGAAGATCTTGGTCTCCCAAAAGGCTTAATTCCTCTAATGCTTGTAGTGCAAAAGAACAAAGGGTAGGTTTGTGCTGTGTTGGATGGGCATATCAATGCATACACAGCTTATGTTGATGTTTGCACAGAACTTGAGAGAATGACAGTAGAAGGGATCTAATGTGTCTGGACTGAATCTTTGAAAGGCCTATATGAAAATACATGTACACTTATCACTAAGTCTCTTTCAAACCATAATCTTCAAGGGGAGATTCTGACGTGAATGGGTTTCGGTCACAATGTGCCATCACCAATCATTACAGCCATTGTAGATACAGCACTGTGGAAGATGAGTTTATTTGACATGCAATTTCAGCTTATATTGATGACATTTGCGAAGACATGGTGCTTGTAGTACACATTAATCAACGTCTTACTGATTATGGACTGACATGCAAAACCTGTAGCAGTTGGAGAATAGCATGATAGTATCTGTCTGTATCTTTGAGATGAGTTATTATGATTATTTACATTATTCAGACTGTTATCCTCATCTTCATTGCTATATTCACAACGTTTTTGGCCGTTATACGCTCTGGCCTTAAGATGAGGATAACAGTCTGAATGATGTAAATAATGTAAATAAGCATGATAGTACTTGGCTTGCAAATCTGGGAGGGGCATGACCAATAAATCATGTTCAAGTTGTTTTCATAATGTTTGCAAAAGTTTCTTTGTGAGAAAAACAGTTTTCTGCTGTGTATTGAGTTTTTAGTTTTCAAAACAGATTGCTGGAAATTTTTGCTTGTACCTGATATTGGACAATGGTTGAATTACATTTGTTTCATTCTAGTTTCTTTTTATAAATTTTATTTTGTTCTCTGCAGCTTATTTCTGTCTACTTTTTTTTACAGTGAAAGCTTTGTATGGAAATGAATCACTGTACCTCAAGTACATCTATCTGTTTGCCCCAATTTCATTGGCGTTCCTTAATCCAATTGGATTTATTCTAATGGAAACTCACAATGCGAATACATTGACAAATCTTCCTCAAAGACGAAGCAAATTGATGAGATTTCTTCACATATTTATAGACGTTATCCGCAACCCCATTGTCATGATGACAATTTTGGGGATAGCTTGCAATCTTATGTTTGGTCAAGAAGTTCCTGGAATTTTAAAAAATATTCTTACAGAATTAGGTAAGTTCTGTTTTTCTTAATTTAAAAAGAACCAATCTGTCATTAAATCAGGTGTAATAATTGTTGAATTATTTTAGGGATATTATCCAAGTAGCAGAAAGTCTGTTCAGTCTTTAATTACACTGACAATAGTTGAGACAGGTTAATTCAACAAAGCATTATTTTTTATTACTTAGAGGATATAAGTTCAATTCCTATGCAGGGTAACAAATATTCTACCTAGAATAGATATTAAAAATAATGTTTATCAATGTAAAAATATTTTACTATCATGACATAAATTACTACAATATTTATTGCTAATTAATGATGCTGTGTAGTGAAACAGTAACAGTAATATTTACCGTTTCCTTATAAGGAAACATTTGGCATTCATTAACTGAGCAGCCAGTACTATTATTAGTTGAAATTTATAAAATCTTTCTATTAAAATAATTTTTCAGGAAAAGAGTTTTTTCAAGTTCCGTAGCTGTTATTACTCTTTCCAGTACTGACAGGGTTTTCCTGCCTAACCTTTTATTTGAAGTAGTGTGGAATGTTAACATCTTATGTCATCATGTTCTCTTCAAGTTACATGTGATATCAAATTTAGAAATGGATATATCTTTTGCTGGTGTTTGTTAAGCAGGTGGAACAAAGCTATTTAATCGCTGGTTGAAGGAGAAATCATTCCCAAGATTCTGGAAAGTGTCGAGTGTATACAGGCTTTTCAAGAACATAGGCAAATTCTCATCCCCACCCCTCAGTGTCATTAACAATCTTTTTGAGGCTATAATCGACAAGAAGTTGATCATCTAAATAAGAACATCCTCTTGAGTGACAAGCAGTATGAGTTTTGATTAGCCTGATCTACTACTGATGTCCAAACTATCATCACTCACAGAATGAGTGAGACACTAGACAACAAATACACTTCAAGGACCATAGCATTAGATATTTCAAAAGCCTTTGACAAAGTGTGGCACAAAGGACTGCTGCTCAAGTTCTCCTGTTATGGAATCACTGAAAGAGTCTTCTCAATAATAAAGTCCTTCCTAATTGGTAGTTGTTAAGGACCAGTCCTCTGAACCACATTCATCCCCTTCATATTCCATTGATGAGAAGTAAGTTCCACTCAAGCAGCTTCTTCCTGAGAACAACTGCTCTGTGGAACTTGCTCCCAAGAGGATGTTTACCTGATCATTACAATCCTAACCTGTTCAAGTCTATGGTTAACCATTATCTTCCCCACCTATTTGCATAAACTGTGTCCTTTACTCTATAACTCTCTACCTCAAGTGGCTCCCTGGCCTTGTACAGGATGAACCTCACTGTTTTTACAGTGAGCCTCCAAAAACTTGACTGCTCTATGAAATGTACATAAAGGCTTGTAACACATATATGAGGCAAAATATCAATTTATGCAAGTTGTTGTCTTCATTCATAGTAGAATTTGAGAATTATGGCAAACATTGACAAAATCTGGCTATTATATGAATAATTATTTCATAACTGTAAAGTCAAATTGGAAGTAGAAAAGATTAGTTTTAAAAGGAAGTTTCTTTTTGTACAACAATAATATGCAACTTTAATTTCATATAATTCCCATTTCTTTTTTTTTTTTATTTCCCTTTCAGGTAATGCCTTTAGTGCTACGGCTTTGTTCTTCCTTGGTTTGAACCTGGTTGGGAAAGCAAAAAAACAGCTTGGATTTGGATTAGTTGTGCCTTTTCTTCTAATTATTACCAAAACGTATGTAAGGAAAAAAAAAACTTTTTTATTTTCTTTAAACTGTTTTCTTTTCTATTCAATAAACGAGAGAAACTACAGCAATATTTTATTTAGATCAACTTTTCAATTTTTTTATATTCTAATATTGGATAAATTGATTGTGTACATTGTTCTCTTAGATTCTTATTGAAAATTTGTGACATTTGGTGATCAATGTAAATTCTGCTTGCAATCACTTCCTCTTCTGGTTTATGGAAGTTGAGAGAGAAAGATGCATAATGATGTTTACTAAAAGTTGTAGCTTTGTATTCTGTGAAAAGCAATTTCTAACATAATTTTCTATTTTGAAGCCTCTAAAATATTATTTGATGTTTCATATTCTGATGAACTTTCAGCCTATGTAAATAATTGAGTATGTATGTAGTCAAAGGTTATTTTTAGTGGATAACTGTATTTGAGTTTTCTTAAGTGCGCAGGTCAGTAACCAAAATAAACACAGTTTAAACAAACGAAGCATGTACTCAAATACAGGTATCCACTAAAAATATGTTTGAAGTAATGTGTGTGTATCACACACGGCAAGATTTTATCCACCTGCACTTTTTCATTAAATAAAATGGTACTTCTATAATTTATTCAAACAGACAATATGATGCAGTGAGTGTACTACACTTATAACCTTAAGCCATGTGTGTATGGTGTGAGTAATATATATAAATATATATATATATATATATATATATTTGTATATTTAGGCAGCAATCCTTCCTTTATGCATGTTTCATTAAAAACGACAGACAAGGTACTACGGTTGGGCTTTTTATTTAATTTTTCTTGTGTTCTGACAAGAGCTTTTTTTTCTGGACAAAGAGTGTAAGAACTGTCCGAATGTTCTGTGTTTCCGAGCGCTTTCGGCTATACCTTTTAGCCATTATCAAGGATGATTCAATTATCAGCTTAGTAGAGTGTGTGTTTCTGTGTATGTTCAGTGTGTGGTAGTGATGTTTTTAGTTTCTGAATACGGTTATACATTGTGGCTTTGTTCATAGTTAATATTGTTAAGGGTTGGCTTTTTTTTTTTATTATTAGAGCTTCCATTATTTTTAGTCTTTTTTTGCAAGTGGATGCAGTTAATATATTTGTGTTTTCTACTAGTATGTTCCTAATAGTGTCGGGTAAATCTGAGTGTGTGTTTAAATGTGTTCTGATGGAACTGTGATCAGATAGGTGTAATGTAAGACGTCTGGATAAACATGTGGTTGTGTAGCTGATGTAATTATTTATGAGTCTGGTTTGGTGAGAATTATGGCAAACATATATATATATATATATATATATATATATATATATATATATATATATATAAGGTGCCATATTTCTTTGTTAATTTTGATCTCCTCCAAAATCATCCTCAGGGTTGAAATTTGAAAACAAACTTAATGTAATTATAGTCGTTGTGAAAGTGATTTTTGTAAACATGCATGAACGTGCTCTGTTATAATTATTTTAATATTAACCATTGTGGTTATGATGTTTTGTAAACAAACATTCACAATTCCCTACTAATCTCAGTAAAAAAATAAAACTAATTATATATTATACTAAATTTAACACAACTAACTTCGTCATATGCAATAACTCTTTTCTGTCAACTAGTGCTTTGGAAAATACCAACGTTGTACATCAGTTTAAATGTCCTTTGGGAGATTGTAAGTACATATGTTGGTTGGACGATCACAACATTATCAAGATGTCTTATATACTTCGCTTGTTGAGTACAAGTTTTATTGCACAACATCTAAAAACATATTCCTGTCCACCTTGACAATATAGAAATATATTTGCTAACAACACCAATATAATACACCATGAAAATAATAAACTAAAACTTCAAATTCTTGAAGCCGTCTATATCAAAAGCAACCAACCAACACTGAATAAAATTTATTATGAGTATAGTTTTAAAACACATTTGAGTTGACTAAGATTTAACACCATGTTGCATTTTACCATTTCTGGTTACCCCCTTGCATTGTGAACACTTGTTTACAAAACATCATAACCACAACAGTTAATTTTAAAATAATTATAACAGGGCACATTCACATGTGTTTACAAAAATCACCATCACAACAATTACATTAAATTTGTCTTTGCAATTCACCTCTGAGTATGATCTCAGAGAAGATTGAAAGTACTTGGTTAAAAAAAATATGGTGCCTTCCTTGATGAATTTCAACTTAACATCAAGAAGATAATTAGAAAACTAGAAAGGATTATTATAAAAATAAATAGACATAATGTCTATATTATTTAATGAATCATGCTTAATTGGAAATATGCTGCCTATATATATATATATATATTAATATTTTACATTGCTGCATAAAAACTTTCATGTTTAGGAACTATAATGTTACTTAATCAGGTGATGTAAAATATAATAATATTTTGCTCTATGTTGTATTGAGCACTTTTTTACAAAAGTAAATGTTAAGAACTATGGATTCTTAATCTGTCTGTTCTTTCTCTTTATTTGTGTGTGTGTGTATATATAATATAATATATATATAATATAATATATATATATATATATATATAATATATATATATTATATATACACACATAATAAAAAGCAGATGTATAACTGATGGTTTCAAGGAATTGTAGGAAATGGATGAAATTGGGTAGGGAGATTGTTTCAGCAATTGTATAAATGCCCTGAAAATCAGCATTGAAATATTTTTTTTTCTCCCTGGCTTAAACAATGGCCTTTGGCACTGTCAGGAATATAAGTATTTTAACTATGAGGCAGGCTGTAATAACTGTATTCATTTTTTTCTTTTCTCATCTTATAACTATTAATGGCTTGCAAGATTAACAAGGTAATCATCTTTCTCTAATTGATAACTTAATCTTCATATTAGCTTTGTTGCAGAGGCAGAAATGAGTAACATAGAAAACAAAACTTTGTTTTTGTTACTATTGCGGATGTTAATTCCTTCTCCGTCTCGGCAAATCCAAGTGTCAAACAAAAGAGAACATTGAGTAGAGGTAGATAAATGTATAATTTATTTACATATATACAAAGACTGGTAACTTCTGTTGTTTCTGTTGCTAGGGCAACAGAGAGAGATAGTGGTCAAATTAGAAGCAAAATGTACATTGATGGTCATTGTCGTTGGTAGCATCTCTCTCTCAGCATGTCAGTGTTGACAACAAACGCTGGTCTGTGTTGTGTCTCACTCTCAGTGTGTCGGTGTTGACATCAAATGCTGGTCTGTTTATATAGTTTGGGGCTTGAAATTGAGGTTTTGGTTTTTGAGTAGAAGTGGCTCTGGTGGGTCATAATGTATTATTAATTTTGTTTTGATTAAAGTGGATGTATGCATGGAACTGATGTGAAGAAAACTTATTTACAGTCTGCTTTGGGTTATCAAATGGTCAACATCTAGTTTGTGTAGAAAATGTAAGGACCACAACAGCTTGCATGCTATAAAGCTGTTTATAATTTACAACACATCCTTAAAATGGCTTTAGAGATATTCAAGTGTTGACATGAAGTATCTTTTAACAGCTATTATTATTATTAATTGACTCTATCCTCTTTTCTCTTTCAGTCTTTTACTGCCTTTGATCATTTGGGAAATTGTCAGTGCTATCCAACCTGGGTCGACTGTCAATGAGACTGAAGCATTTGGAACATATGGTTTTCTCTATGGTACATTTCCAACAGCTCCTTCAGTTTTTATTTTTGCTAGTCAATATTCAATGGCTGAACATATTGTAAGTTTCTAGTCTATTTTTAGATTTTTACTTATTTATATATTTGTATTGTTACAAAAATCTTTTAGTTTCTCCTTCCAAAACATTTTTAAATATATTTGACCCATTGTCCTCAGAAAACACTTTAAAGCACAATGAAGTGACCTTGGAGACATTCTGTTTCCTTACATTATTTTTAAGTTATTTTCAAGTGTCCAATGATTTTGCATAGATTCACTGGTTTGATATTTGTTGTATTACACTGTTTTTTTTTTTTAAATTAGAAGTGTAAAGAACTTTACTTCTGTTAAATAGTTGAGGTTCTTCATTGCCTATATTGTATATTACTTTGTGGTAAATTTTATGCATTCTTGGTAACTGTTTAGGTTACTCTTGGTAATTGACTCTCCTGGGAACTGTCTATAACTAACTCATTGTCTCTAGGTTTTTTTATATATTGTTCTACTAAGCACCTCCTGTGACTCTTACTGGAACAATTCACTGAGCAAGGGAGTGATACCCAAAAATATTATTAAAATTATTTGCATTATAGATTTCATTTTCTTTTTTCAGGTTGCCAGTGGGTTGGTCCTGTGTACCATCTTGTCTGCACCCCTTATGTTTATCTCTGCCAAAATGAGAATGATGATGTGTCATCATTCAATCAATTACACCCACCTGATTCATGACACATCATTTGACATTAGCATTCTTTCATTGATTGCTTGCGTAAGTTTTTCAGTCTTTCCTTTTTTAAACTTTTATTTCTTAAGAACCAGATTTAGAATTCAAAATAAGAGTTTATTTTTAAGTTTGTTTTTCAAACACTGTGTTTTTGATATCATGTAACATTTTTTTATAGCATTCATTTCAGAAAAAAAAAAGTTATTGAATCACTGCAAATATTTTAGTTAAATAGATGAACCCTAGCAGATGTAATTCTAGTGTTGAAATAAATCTTAAAATTAATTCTATTAATTGGGATAAAGTGAAAATGCTATATGCTTACTATCGTATTGAAATACTGAAGTTGGCATTGAGCCTGAGCAATACCTAGATGGGTGACTGTTTGGGAATACCAGGTGCTGTAAGCTTGGATGTGCGGGTGGTGTGATGTTTAATGGCTTGGAATGAGAAATCAGAGTGCTGAGTTCAAATTACAGTCTGGTTTGTTACATTGACTTACACAAATACCCTTGGGTGACCATGAATTGAAAAGAGACAAGATCGCTTAAGCATGTTGCATACACTCCTACCAACATACAGTGAGATAGTGTATGGTAATGGCCTGTTCCTCCCAATGAATCTGGGGAAGGTCTACATCCAACGAATGACCTTCACAGGCTGAGAAGAAAATGCTATATAACTATTTGAGAGCTACTGATATCTTGTTGAGGATTTCTTTGTCACGATTTTTCTTATCTTGGTAATGAATTAAATGATTAATCCTGACAATTAATAGATATTATTGAATGCAGTGATTGCTGTGATTATCTTGGAATCGCTGATAAGATATCTTGATAGAAATTTCTTTGACTTAAGTCATATGTTTGGCAATGAATTAGATATAAAGTCAGGACTATTTGTTAATGTTGACGGTTTTGACTGTTGTGGAGAAGCTAATCAAGTATTTTACCGATATGGTGTTCACAAATATTCCAATTCTAAGATTAATATTAAAAACTAGTGTACTCATGCCATCAAAAAATGATGACGATTATTAGAAAGTTTTAATATTGAGATGCAATGAAACAGGTTTTGAAACAATGTATTGAAATTCAATCCGAGATTCACAACTGAAATAGGAATGACTAAGGGAAGTAAGCACTCATATATTTACTAACTTAAGTTGAATTATCTCTCTTTGCATCATAGAGCATGACATGAAAGTTATAAATAAATAAGTACACAAAGGTAATTATAGCGTTGATTAAGATTGCCTGATATATAAATTTTAATTTTAATATTGAGATATACATTTGCTATTGTGGATGATATCAGGTTTTGTTTTTTTTTTGTCATCCATACTTCAGCTATCTCCTGAAATACTTGCTAAGCAGGCTTTTAACACAGAAAAACTAACTCTGTATACATTTGACCTTTGATTTGATTGGTTGATTTCGTTTAGTGACATATCAACCTGTATGAATTATTTAATACCAAAACCTAAATATTTTGCATGCAATTTTATTTTATTTTATTTTTGAGATAATAATGGTTTAGTGATACAAGTCTTATTAATTCTAGATGACTTTGTGGTGCTACTTTTCTGTAGGTTTTGCCACTTTCACTTAATTCTTATTTAGGATTGTAAAATTTTTTACAAAGGTTGTCCCAGAAACTCATCAAGCTAGATTAAAAGGCTGAAGTATGAGGTACAAAACACTATCAAGCTGGAGTATCTTATCCAATGGGTGGATATTCCAGCTAGTAAAATTTTTCATTTTATTTTTATTTTCTTGTCTTGATAACATTTATATATTGTTACACTTTCTTACTAAGTATTATAATGAAGCAAAAACAAAAATCTATACTGAAAAAAATGAAAAAAAAAAAAAAGAAAAAAAGAAGAATTCTGTAAAACCTGAAATGGAAAATTGGTTCCTCTAGATATCTAACCAATCAAAAGTCTACAACCCTAAAACATTGAAATACAAAAAATATCTTCTATAAAAAGACAAAATGTATGGTTGTCAACAAGAGAGGCAAGGTGTGAGCTTCAAATTGAAAATATCAGAATCAAAGATGCAAAAATTTATCTGGGGAAATGTAGAAAAAAAAGTGGTGGCAGTGGGACTTGTGGGGTGGGGACAAAAATTTCATCTTTTTGTTTCATCCTTTCTTTTTCCTGTAACACATGAAGATGGAGGAGAGGGCAGTTTATCATTTCAAAAAGCCAAATTTTTTTATGAATTACACTTTAAAAAAATGTTATTTAATAATTTCAATAAAGAAACTAAACAATAATGTAGCTTTTTTTCTCAAGATGACTTTGTGGTGCTACTTTTCTGTAGGTTTTGCCACTTTCACTTAATTCTTATTTAGAATTGTAAAATTCTTTACAAAGGTTGTCCCAGAAACTCATCAAGCTAGATTAAAAGGCTGAAGTATAGGGTACAAAACACTATCAAGCTGGAGCAACTTATCCAATGGGTGGATATTCCAGCTAGTAAAATTTTTCATTTTATTTTTATTTTCTTGTCTTAATAACATTTATATATTGTTACACTTTTTCATTAAGTATTATAATAAAGCAAAAACAAAAATCTAGACTGTAAAAAAAAACGGAATTAAGGAAAATTGAAACAGAAAATTGTTCCATCTACATATGAAGTGGGGAGGGTGAAAACTTTTTGGCCTGACCCAAAAGAATGATTGACATCCATGAAGTTTTCTTTTCTTTTTCAGGTTTGGGTTATTGCTCTGTTAATTATGAGCAGTCGTTGGAAAAAAATGCCTCATCAGTTAACTTTGTGTTTGACAGTCTCTCAGGTTAACAAACTTTTTTCTTTATTTATTGAATGTGAACTTTTGTTATATTTGGTATGATCATTCTTTTGTTAATCATGATTTAAATTTAAACACATTTCCTTACTGAGTGAAAAAAAAAAACCCAAAAAACAAATTAGTTTTTGAATGTATTAGAAATATGATGTATGAAGTTGTCCTTTTGTTTGCAGTTGAAAATTTGTAGATAACATGTTGCTGTCTTTTTTCTTTATAAGAAATTTACTCATTCCCAAATTTCAATATTTTTATTAAATAAAACTAATGAATTGTATATTTCTGGGGTTGACTGGTCAACTTAATTCGAGGATAAGGAGACATTCACCTGGCAGGCTGAAGGTAAAAATACATGCACACACACACACACACACACATGTGAAAAAAACTCTCAAAACCTCCTTTTTTCTTTTCTTACATCAACACTTTCTTGCCTTAGACATAATTAATTTTTTAAAATAAAGAGTTTAAGATGTTAAAAGTAAATACAAGAAGAACTGTGATATTTTTTAAATGTCATATTCAAATGTTTTTTTTATAGTGGTGTTCACTCTGTACAAGCCTGAGGGCCACTCGAGGTAGAGGGTTACAGAGTAAGAGGCACAATTTATGCAGATATCTATGGAAGATAACAGTTAACCCTAAACTTGAACAGGTTAAGATTATAGTGATTGGGAAAGTATCCTCTTGGGAGTTGATTCTACAAGGTAGTTAGTGGTTTGTTGGAAGAAGCTGCTTGAGTGAAACTTACATGTTTCCAAAGAAATACAAAGGGAATGAGGGTGGTTCACTATAATGTGTGAGGCATGGTGAATCTTAGTCTTGAAGGTTAGGACTGGCAGAACTAAGAAGAATTCATCTGAACACTTTCTATAGAAATAGTAATAGAGTAGTGAGCAGCTTGCAGCATTTCATCTGTGAGAAAGGAGTTGTAGGATAGAAAATAATTTGTCACACACAAGGACACTGAAAGGATTTTATTGAGACCGGGAAGTGAAAATAGGGCAGCTCCTTGACCTAAGGGCTTAAATACTTTGATGAAACTTCCCATAAGTGGACATTGCGGTTAGTACCTGGCACACAATCATCAGGCCATGTTGTATTCTGACTCAATATATGCTGATCAATGTTGCATTATGGGTGTATTATTCTAATGGTTATTGAGATATCTAGAAAAATGTTATTTATCTCTACGTCTCTTCATGCAAGTTTTTTGGGGTATTGAAAAACATTTCATTTTTAATCTGAAGAGAATTTATACTATGGTATTTTGGCTTTGCATGTGATTTTTCTCAAAAGTTAAAACAAAAAGAAATGCAGCAGGGTATCACAAGTTCAGTTTCTTAGAGATTGTCCTTGTCCCTATGAATGATGAAATAATAAAAAAGAGATGTCCTTGTCCCTATGAATGATGAAATAATAAAAAAAAGAGATGTCCTTGTCCCTATGAATGATGAAATAATAAAAAAAGATGTCCTTGTCCCTATGAATGATGAAATAATAAAAAAAGAGATGTCTTTGTCCCTATGAATGATGAAATAATAAAAAAAAAGAGATGTCCTTGTCCCTATGAATGATGAAATAATAAAAAAAGAGATGTCCTTGTCCCTATGAATGATGAAATAATAAAAAAAAGAGATGTCCTTGTCCCTATGAATGATGAAATAATAATAAAAAGAGATGTCCTTGTCCCTATGAATGATGAAATAATAAAAAGAGATGTCCTTGTCCCTATGAATGATGAAATAATAAAAAGAGATGTCCTTGTCCCTATGAATGATGAAATAATAAAAAGAGATGTCCTTGTCCCTATGAATGATGAAATAATAAAAAAGAGATGTCCTTGTCCCTATGAATGATGAAATAATAAAAAAAAGAGATGTCCTTGTCCCTATGAATGATGAAATAATAAAAAAGAGATGTCCTTGTCCCTATGAATGATGAAATAATAAAAAAAAGAGATGTCCTTGTCCCTATGAATGATGAAATAATAAAAAAAAGAGATGTCCTTGTCCCTATGAATGATGAAATAATAAAAAAGAGATGTCCTTGTCCCTATGAATGATGAAATAATAAAAAAAGAGATGTCCTTGTCCCTATGAATGATGAAATAATAAAAAAGAGATGTCCTTGTCCCTATGAATGATGAAATAATAAAAAAAGAGATGTCCTTGTCCCTATGAATGATGAAATAATAAAAAAAGAGATGTCCTTGTCCCTATGAATGATGAAATAATAAAAAAAGAGATGTCCTTGTCCCTATGAATGATGAAATAATAAAAAAAAAGAGATGTCCTTGTCCCTATGAATGATGAAATAATAAAAAAAAGAGATGTCCTTGTCCCTATGAATGATGAAATAATAAAAAAAAGAGATGTCCTTGTCCCTATGAATGATGAAATAATAAAAAAAGAGATGTCCTAATCAGAGGATGACATCATACAGCTGAGAACAGGGGACAGCAAGTCTGTTCCTTCCCAATCTGTTTTCTTCTTCTTAGCTGGTGGATTTTCAAACACAACATCCAAGATTTGTGTTCATCTAATCAAATATTTGATAGAAATGTTGATCACTGTGATTGTCACTGTGATTCTTTGTCTGGAAATTATAAAAGCAAAATAGTTTGAGAAAGATTTGCTCACCTATGGATAAATACACAGGATCAGATTAAATCCAACTGAAATCACAAATGCATGACCAGACCTCATACTTATATTAAATATGAACATTTTTTTCTCTGACAGAAGTGAAATTCTCTCACTATGAGATAGAAACAAATAATGCTTGAAATTTTTAACTACTCTCTATGTCAAAGAAAATGTTCTTTAACAATGTCAAGTAAAGTTGAACACTTGCAGATATGAACAATTTACTGTTTAGTCTGTCAGTGAGCATTCAGGCTTGCATGACAGCCTGCAAGAGGATCTAGTGGTGCTTTGATGTCTTTAGCATCTTTCAGTTATTGGTTGTTTTGGGCCTGACTCAGCACACAATATTCAACTATGATGTCTCAATAAGAATATATTGCAGACCTTAACTTGCATTGTTTTGTATTATAATTTAGATATTGTCATATGATATGGAAAATTATGATAGGGAAAGAAATATAAATTATATGAATGTTAAAAATTTTGAAAAGGAATGACCTTTTGAAAATGCTGTTGATAAAATATCAGAAGTTTAACCCAACTTCAGATATAATTGAATAGCATTGATTTCTTCTTTTATTGTACTTTTTAATCTTATTTGATGACTCTGTTTTTAATTTTTTTGCAGATGGTTGGTGCAGTTGGAGTAATTTGTTATCATTTAAGAGATGAAACCGTTTCTTGGCAGTCTCACGTTGATTTTGCCTTAATGAGCATTGGCAATTTGAGTTCCATTTGCTGGACATCACTACTCAGTGTTGTTATCTGTGTTATTCGTACACAGAGAACAACCATTATTTTCAGAAATCTCATTATCATTCTCTTGACTGGAACTGTGTGAGTGCATTATTATATTTTTTTAGCCTTTTACTATTAGCACTTATATTTTCCTTATGAATAACCTAAGTCCTACCAACGTGGAAGTATTTTTTAGGTATAGTTTTCTACTTTTAATATCGAATCTTTGATTCGTAAATTATGGTAATTGTAGTGTTTATTTGTTTATTTTCATGCTTGTAACTCCAGAATTGCATGAAGAGGATAAGTACATTTTTTTTTTAAATAATATCAGTACTTTTGAGCTTGTTCTTCAAACCTGACATGATAAGAGGATGTGTGCTTTTTTTTTTTTTATTTTTTTTTTTTTTTAACTTTATTTTGATTTTGTCCTTATTGGTGATTTAATTTTGGCTATAGGCTTGTCTCTAATCTTTTCTGAGAGTTCAGATCAGAAATAACATCGCAAAGGTAAATTAAGAAGAATTAACTAATATGATATTATAATACTATGATGGCAGTCTACTACATTTCCAAATTCTGAGATTGTCACTGAATATAATAAGCACCTGAAGAAATCTGAAAATTACAAAACATTGTGATTCTAATGACCAAGATAAAGATACCAGTTCCAATAAATCAGTTTAACTTTTTTGTTTTCAGGCTTCCTGTACTTCTCACTGGAATCTTCCTTTTGTTTAGTTGGGAAAATAGTTTTACCAATTTTGATCCGTCTTTTCAATACGGTAATATTCAGGTAATTTTATTATTAGATATTTGCTATTTTATAAACAAATGTAATCTTTGATTGTGCGGACTTGTTTAGTTTTATGGATATGTGTGTTCATATGTATATTTATATAAGTGTGTATATGAGAGGGTGTTAAAAATTACTGGACTTAATCCACCTCCTAAAATCTGAACAAATAATCAAAAATTAGATACTTTTTTTTAATAGATGGCTTTTTGGTCAGGCTGAGAACATTACAGCACATCATGTGTCTGTGTGTGTGCTTCTGTGTGTCTATATATAAACACACAATAAATTGAATATATATTGAGCAGACATTATTGAAAAGTCTATATGGAAACTGTATAGGTACCTCAATAAGCCTAATGAAGAAAAACAATTTACATAGCGGATATTTTTCAATATATTTTCCTTGTCAATGCACATAATTCAATGGTGAATATTAAACACACAGATCAAAATTCAACTAATGCCTGACTGTTATTTTATAATCTACTCTTGTACACATCCTCAAATCCATTATATATAGCTACGCACACAATTATCTACAAATATGTAATTTTATATAAATATATAGTGTTTAATTTTGTGTTGTAGTTGCTTAGCAAACACTGAACTTTTTTATCCTGGAAAAGTTCTTTGAAAATAAAAAGCGAAAAAAAAAAAATTTCTATGATTCAGTTTTTCATTTATTTCCAGTCCACCACAATATAAACCACTTTTATAGATTAATAGTCTGAGTAAAATTTGTGATAAAAAGTGAAATATAAAATGTAAATAAATTTAAAAATATTAAGAATAATATTTGAATTTTCAATACTTTAATTTACAGGCATATGTACAGCTCTCTCTGAACCTTGTGTCGATCATCATAACCACGTCGTCTTTGGTTTATAGCCAACGCTACCTGGCTGCCTCCTACCAGTTACACAGAGCTCCCCAGAATAGTTCCTCAATAAATAATGGAGATTTAGTGAGTGCAAACAGTGTTGATCCAGATGTATCAACTGGGAATATACAAACTTCCTTGGATTTACCAGCTTCTGCTACAGAATTTAGTGCCAACCATCCAAACAATCTGATGACTACAGCTGACCATGATGATGGTATGTGAAATAGCAAAAATATTGGGTGGGGCATAAATATTTACTCATTATTTAAACATAAATTAAAATACACCTGTTCTTAATAATTTCATGTTTTGCATAAGGCTTTCTAACATTCTTTTTTATTGTTTACAGTTTAATTAAATATGGCAGGTCAAAATTGAAAATGACTGCTATAAAGCATTGTGAGGTGATTAAACAGTTGCAGAAAAACAGTTTTTAATGTGTGGAAAAATTTTCAAGAGAAGCAAATAACCTCACCAAATACAGTGGAACCTTGGTTTACAAATTCATTTCTGAAGCCTGTTCATAACCTGAAATGTTAGTAAACTGAAACTATTTTTCCAATAGGAATCAATGTAAAATGGATTAATCTGTTCCTGGTCCCAAGATGATTGCTTATTTAAACTTTAGCAACAATATTTTGTGCACACAAGTTTATACACAAAACTAATGAAAATCATTAAACCTAAGAAAAAAATAAATAAACCCAATATTAAACAGATAAAATATAGATGAACACTTCAGTTTTACTGTGCCTGTAATTTGGAGAGTTGATGGTGTAAGTGAAAAGAGAATGAAAGAGATGTTATTGTTTGGAAAAAGGTAGGAAAGACATGATCATCTCTTCATTTAGAAGAATAGTATAGATTATTGATTTTGCCATATGAAACTGAGTAGGAAGAGACAATATCATCAACAATTGTTTTTCTCTTAACTTTTCTTTTTCCTTTAACAGTATTACTTTGGAGCCATGACTGAGGATTAATGAAGAGAAAAAAATGGCAAAGTACAATAAAATTGGAAAAGAAAAGCACAATACATGAATGTATACAACATGGCAGTCGACTAAGAAATGATTACATTTGGGTTAACTGGGTTTGGCAATGTTGTTTGAGAACCAAAATTTTGTTTGGTAACTGTCATTTTCATCTCAAATATTCTGTTCGAAAACCGATTTGTTTGACATGTGAGACGTTCGAGAACTGAGGTTACCCTGTACAATTCCAGGAAGAAACTGTTCATTTTGTACCAGGAAAGTCATTGAAACCGTCAAAAAGAGGGGAAAGAGAAATCCACAAAGAAGCATGAGGAAGATGCTGGATATTTTGGATAGTCCCTAAGGATGATTGTGAAAGAGGAATTAGGGCTAAAATAATCCAAAATTCAATGACAACAGCTGCTCTCAAGTGCCTCGTAGCAAAAATGGCTTTGCAGAGGGAATGAAATTTTGGAGGAGATGCAGTGTACCACAGACAAAATCTCCATTTGGTTTGTTTAGAAGTTTTTCACTCTAGAGGCTGTGGTTAACTATCAAAATGATAGGGTTTATTCCACATTACCTGGAAACATTCTTAAAGATGTCAGAACACATTTCAAGTGATAGAAACCAGCTGGTGTAATGGTTTGTGCTGCTGTTTCTTCTGATGGTTCAAAATCAGACAGAGTTCATTGAAGAAGAGGTGAAAGTTAATAGCAGTTTACCAGTAAATGCTGGAGAGAGATATGTTTCCTAGCCACATTTAGAAGTTGATATGTTTATACTCAAGACAATACTCCCACACACATGGCCAGTTTGACATAGAACTTGTACAAGAGACATTTCTGTGGATAGTTTAGCCTCCATCATGCCTTGAAATTAATTCTATGGACTTTGCGATATGGTCCAGACTGAAAAGTGATATTTCATATATCTTATACATGTATGTGTCAGACCTGAAAGAAGCTCTTATGATGTTGTGATACAATTTGAGTGAAGAGGTTGTGAAAAAGTTATGCACTTCTATTGAGAAGAGATTAAGGAAAACAGAGGGTAGCCATTCTTCTGTTATCATTTCTAAACTAGATACCCACAAAGCTTGCAAATTTGACGGAATCCATGCAATTGTCCTAAAGAAATGTGCTCCTGAACTGGCTCCTGTTCTCTCCAAACTTTACAATAAATGCCTCACTGCTTCTTGCTTTCCAACTTTTTGGAAGTTCTCCTCTGTAGTTCCTGTCTTTAAGAATTAGTGAAACCTTTTGACACCTCAAATTATTGTCTCTTACCTCTTTTTGGCAAAGTACTAGAAGCTCTAATCAATGCCAAATTGGTTAATCATCTTACTTCATTCTGCCTCCTTTCAGATAAACAATACGGCTTCCATTTCACCAGGTCTAGGTAAGACCCATGAAGCTCAGGTTGTGGCTTTAGATATCTCGAAGGTGTTCAAGAGGGTTTGGCATGCTGACCCTCTCCATATGCTCAAGGGCTACAATGTCTTTGGATAAATATTTGACTTAATCCAATCATTCCTAACAAATCATGTAATGAAGGTCATGTTGAGTGGACACACTTCTAGATCATTTCACATTAATGCAGGAGTCTCCCGGTGCTCTATCTTGAACCTACATTGTTTCTTATCTTCATCAATGACCTTCTGATGTCATCAGTTCTCTACTAGGAATTTATACTAACTACATAACTGTCTTAGTAGCAAGTCTGACAAAGTAAAACTAGCAACTGCTCTCAAAGGGGACCTCAAATTAGTGGTTAACTGGGGCATGTAATGGCTTGTAAATTTTAATGCCTCCAAAACAAAACTGCTTTCATTTAATCACTATAGAGACCTTTTCTGTCTGCATGGTAGATGCTAATCTTTTAGCATGGTTAATGCTAATCTTCGGGAGAGCAATTCTTTGCGCCTACTTGATCTCACATTTCCACTAACATGAAGTGGAGTGATTATATTGAATTAATTGCTAGGTTTACTGCTAGGAAAGTTGCTTCAGTGTGTCATGCCAGACAATTCTTCTGGTCAGAATCGATCTTGCACATTTATGAATCTACCATTGACCCGTGCATTCAATACTACTGCCATATCTGTCCAGGTACTCTTACTAGATATCTTGAGATTCTTGACAAAATTCAGTCTGCAATGTAATCTATCCTGACCTGGCATCTTGACTTCAGTCCCATTCTCACCACTGCCTCTTTGTTGGTGCCTCAACTGAATGGATTTAAGCATGCTACTAGATTGGTAACTAGATCTCACTGTTTTACTGTTGAGCTAGTTAGATGCAACCATCTATTCTATTCTAATAGTTTATTTTCTTGCACTTCTTGCCTCTGGAATTCCCTCCCAATTTCTTGTTTCCCTGCTACCTACAATCTTCAGAAGTTTAAATGCAATACCATTTGCCATCTTCTGTTTTCAAGAATCTTGTTCCTTTATTGTCCCTTTCTTCATTTCTCCTCAATAAAGTCTTCTCATTCACTTCTTGTAACCCCCTCCATCCCAGTGACATTATAACCTTGCTTGAGGTGAAATGATTAAAAAAAAAAATATATATATATATATATATATATATATATATATATATATATATATATCAATAAATATAACAATCAATCTGTAATCAAACTTTTACTAACCAAAACCTAAAACTTATTTTGTGATGAAATCAATAATGGGTAAAAGTATATGCTGCACTCGGTAAATACTCTAGTTTGCAATGAAAAGGTACATACTGTTATTGTTAGATGGAACCTCCATAGCCTTTTATTTCATTTCTTATATTGTTGTAATTAGGAAATTCTCAGTGCAATAAGTTAGTTATTTATCTATCAATTTCGGTATGTTCATTATCTATCTATTTCGGTATGTTCATTATCTATCTATCTATTTTGGCATGTTCATTATCTAACTATCTATCTTTGTATATTCATTATCTATTTCAGTATATTCATTATCTATCTATTTCACTATATTCATTATCTATCTCTCTATATTCATTATCTATCTCTTTATATTCATTATCCATCTATAAATATATATATCTTCATTATCTTTCTATCTATCTATCTATTTCAGTATGTTCATTATCTATCTATCTATCTATCTAGCTATTTCAGTATGTTCATTATCTTTCTAGCTATCTATCTATCTAGCTATTTCAGTATGTTCATTATCTATCTATCTATCTATCTATCTAGCTATTTCAGTATGTTCATTATCTTTCTAGCTATCTATCTATCTATCTATTTCAGTATGTTCATTATCTTTCTATCTATCTATCTATTTCAGTATGTTCATTATCTATCTATCTATCTATCTATTTCAGTATGTTCATTATCTATCTATCTATCTATCTATTTCAGTATGTTCATTATCTATCTATCTATCTATTTCAGTATGTTCATTATCTATCTATCTATCTATTTCAGTATGTTCATTATCTATCTATCTATCTATTTCAGTATGTTCATTATCTATCTATCTATCTATCTATTTCAGTATGTTCATTATCTATCTATCTATCTATTTCAGTATGTTCATTATCTATCTATCTATCTATCTCAGTATGTTCATTATCTATCTATCTATCTATCTATCTATTTCAGTATGTTCATTATCTATCTATCTATCTATTTCAGTATGTTCATTATCTATCTATCTATCTATTTCAGTATGTTCATTATCTATCTATCTATCTATCTATTTCAGTATGTTCATTATCTATCTATCTATCTATCTATTTCAGTATGTTCATTATCTATCTATCTATCTATCTATTTCAGTATGTTCATTATCTATCTATCTATCTATCTATTTCAGTATGTTCATTATCTATCTATCTATCTATCTATTTCAGTATGTTCATTATCTCTATCTATCTATTTCAGTATGTTCATTATCTATCTATCTATCTATCTATTTCAGTATGTTCATTATCTATCTATCTATCTATCTATCTATTTCAGTATGTTCATTATCTATCTATCTATCTATCTATCTATTTCAGTATGTTCATTATCTATCTATCTATCTATCTATCTATCTATTTCAGTATGTTCATTATCTATCTATCTATCTATCTATCTATTTCAGTATGTTCATTATCTATCTGTCTATTTCAGCATGTTCATTATCTATCTGTATGTATATTTGTGTGCACATATGTGTAGTGGGCATGTGGCCAAGTCGTGAGAACATTTGCTTTCCAACCATGAGACCCAGGTTTGAGTCTCAGCACAGTTGATTTATCAGCAACTTCTTGATGTTATCATACTGGGAAGGTGATCCCAGCCTGTGGTACCTTTGGGAAGTATCTGGAAACCACACCAAGGGTTTACCCAGTCCTTATGAGTAAAGTTGGGTACATGGAGCTGTTTGTTGATAGTTGTACCTGCATGTAATTGTAACCAAGGGTTTAAATATACTGGACTTGTTAAAATGTTGTTTAATGTTGATCACACCAAATGATGTGATCTCTCTCACAGAAGCTGTAACTAATGTCTGCTCAGCATAGCTGCAGTATAAACTATGGGTAGGCTCTGTGAATGTTGAATTAACACAAAGTGTACCTGAGTAGACATTTGCAGCAGAAATGGCAAGCTACAATCGCAGACAGATATATTTGGAAATGAGTGGCCAGCCATTATATGTATTGGTATGCATATGTTGCTATATTTGTTGGAAGGCAAATTAACCTTATAACCACTACTGTACACTAGTGTGCATTGATATATTAGCTACCGTTATTGATAGATGGAACTAACAGAGCCTCTTATTTCATTTACTGTTGTGTATGTAAGTGCACATATCTAGGTGTGTATAATGGTTAGCCACTCATTTCCAAACACAACTGTCTGCTAGTGTGGCTAGCTAATCCCTGTTGCAGACGCTTGCTCAGGCATATTTGTGTTTATTCAACACCTACAGAGCCAACCTGTGGTTTATACTGCAACAATACTGAGCATACCTTAGTTGCAGTTTCTAGGAGAGAGTGCATAATCTGGTTGTGATCAGTATCTGAATAAAATCAGTATGTTCAAAGCCTCAGTGATGATGACTTATAAATTTATGCTAACGCAACAATTAGCACTTTCCAAACAGTTTCCTCTACTCAGTTTCATTATCAAGGCTTGGGTCAACCTGTGATATGGTTTTCAGGATTGGTATTCTGGAATTGTCTCTATTGGCAGATATAATCAAAAAGTCACTTTCTTGATGATGGTCAGAACACTAATGTTCTAAACACTTGGCCACATAGCCATATCTGATAAATGATTAGTAACTGATATAAGTGTGCACAAAACCAAACATCATTATAAACACATTTTTATATTTGTACTTTGTGTGTATGGCATTGTCACAACATCATATATGGCTTGAACCAATGTTTGGGCAATTATGGTCATTGTTCTGTGGTGGGTTGGTGTCATTGCATTAGTCTTAATGGCTGGCTTCAGGCTAATACACTAAAGTTGCACTGTCCCTGTTTCTTACTGGAAATCAATTCAGCCATCTCTTCACCAGGAGAAATGTTTTCTTGTAGTAATAAATAGCACAGTGTATGGACTGTATTGGCTTCTTTTATTGTCCCCAGTAGGAAAATTCTGCCAACTACATTTCAGCAATGGAGAGGGTGAAAGTAAATGAGAGAACTTTCTAATCCTACCATTTTGATACCAACCTAAAATTCTCACTGGAGCATTTTGGCATAAGAAACTCTTTTCTACCAGAAAAACTTGCATTCATGCTTGTTGCTGATTAGTCAATTCATGGACCAATGAAAAGACCTTGATCTCATCCTGCTATTTTTCCTTTTTACTTGCAGGATTTGTGACCTTGTCAAATATATTGTATTTCAGAAATACAATATATTTCCAATAACATGAGTAGCTGTTTATTAATGAAATTTATTTTTTTTTCTTAAATTATCCTCCTTTATTCTACACCCACAATGTTATGGATGAGTGGTTCACTACAATGTGTCTTAGCCTTGAAGGTTAGAACTGGTAAAACTAAAAGAACGTGCATTTGGTGGATATGTCATAAATTAACTTCCTAGCTACAGTCACACTTAAGTGCATATTAAAATTGTATTTATATTTTTAAATGCCATGTCACCTCAGGACTTAGGTAATCATGACTTGCCAGAAATTCCTTTTTATTATTTGGGAATTCACATGTATTCTTGGGAAAGATAGTTGCTTCTCACTGCCTTCTCTACAGTTTGAAATTCAAAGTTTTCCTTCTCTGAGATTAGTTTTCCCTTAAGGTGATAGAAATCAGTCTACCCTGCCATTTAACCCATAGCTGGAGGGAGGCAAGACAAATTCATATCTTTCACAAGGATATTTGTATGAAAGTGGACACAACAGTATGCTTTATATACATTTTTTTTCCTAATGTAATAGTGCCTTTACTTGTTTTTAACTTTTTAGCATTTTAGATTAGATTGCATAAAGGGTTGGGTTTTTTTTTTTTATTGACATATGAACCTCTATGAGTTATTTAATACCGAAATATTTTGTACACAATTTTATTTTATTTTTTTTAGAAATAATAATGATTTTATTGATACAAAACCTACTAATTAACCCATAGCAAGGAGTAGAAGAGGCAGATTCATACTTTTCCCAAGTGTATTTACATATAAGGGAATATAAAGAACCCAACTGGAATTGGAACTCAGTTCCCTGATTAACAATTCTGTGCCATTAGACATTACAACACCTGCACATCCAAGCTTGCAGCACATGGTATTCCAAAGCAGTCACCCATCTAGGTACTGTCCAGGCTCAATGTTGTTTAACTTTGGTGATCATACGGGAACCAATGTTTCAGCATGATATGGCTGTAAGGTACATACAGGGAGTTGCTCTTATTTGTAAGAGATTTGTTTCAAGACCCCTGTCAAATACTTGATACTGCAGACAGCACCAAGCTATATACAAAGTCTTCCCACCTATGATAAAGGTTAATTTATAAATTATACACAAAAAATTTAACAATAATAATAAAATAGAATAATTATGAAATATACTATAATGAAAGTGTGTAATGAATATAAGATTGAATTCTATTATAGATTTTAGTAACTGCAGCATATTTTTTTTTTTTTTCTTATTAAGAATTTTTAATTTTTAGTGAAAGGAAAAACTTGAACTTTGACATATGACCTAATGCCAGATCAGGCCTAAAATGGAGTACTGCCACCATATATGGGCAGGAGCTAGGCAGTTGTTACTTTCCAGTCTTGATAGAATCCAAAAAAAAAACCCTGCTTCTGTGAGGGTGACAGATTATTTTCTCACAGATGAAACATCACAAGCCTTTTTTCTGCTCTATTACTATTTCTATAGAAAGTGTTCAGATGAACTACATTCTTTTAGTTTTACCAGTTCTAACCTTCAAGGCTAATACTCACCATGCTACACACATTGTAGTGAACCACCCTCATTTCCTTCATATTCCATTGGTGAGATGTAAATTCCACTTGAGCAGCTTCTTCCCATGAACTACTGCTTTGTGGAACTGACACCCAAGAGGATGCTTTCCCAATCACTACAATCTTAACCTGTTCAATTCTAGGGTTAACTGTTACCTTTGCCACATATCCACATAAACTGTACCTCTTACTCTGTAACACTTTAATGTGAGTACCACTCAAGCTTTGTGAACATTGTAAAATACATATGAAGTTGACCTTATGACCTTCCACTGGCTAATGAACAATACCTTGATTTATATGAAGCAAAATCAAAATGACATCAAAATGTATAAACCTGCATCTTCCATTTATTCCTTTATACCACATATTAATATCTAATCATTGTCAATTTTGACTTTTTTTTTTCCAGATTTGCTTTTGCCCACACAGATATATGAATGCCATACAGCGTCATCTGAGTCCGAGGTTCACTTGCTTAATACTGATGATTCTGATGACTTGCATGTCACTTTTTATTCAGAGACAGACAGAACGGATTTGGATGTGACAGTCAATGGTGAACAACAATGTCAGATTTTGAGACACCTCATTCTCTTACTCTGTCTCTTGTTCACAATGTGTGTGGTGAGTCAGTCTGTATTTCATTGTTGTGTCTATGACACTTTCTTGAACCAACTATTGACAACTTCTGTCATATTAGCATAGCTTTAAAATTTCATACTACAGTTATTTTGTGGGAAATCTTTAGACAAAGTATTTTCATGTTTTTTATTACTATATTTAATCCCTTTTATTACTTGTTTTCTCAATGAATTTCTGATTTAACACAAATGTACAGTTATAGTTGTGACAGTTTAATTTCACAGTTTGTGTATAGAGAAAGTTTTCTACAATAGTATAAACTCTTGTTGCAATTCCCTCATCTTGCCAGAAATCATGCATATTGCAACTCTCACTTCAGTGAACAGCACTGAGCTTGGAAAACCATTTCATTGACCATTGTTCTGTTTAAAGAATTTACATATGTGTGTGTAGGTCTAAAAAAAATGAGACTGTGCTTAGTTTGCATAATGACAGCAAACCAGTGCATGTTCTACATGGGGTCTGCTTTTCCCCATTGGCCAAGTTAATAAGTTTTTTTTACTACACTCTACTTGTGTCAAACATCAATTATGAATAGCAATTCAGCAGGAGTAATTGGAGTAGTTTTGAATGTGAACAAAGATCGATTTATTTTCAAGTGACCTGTTTTTATTCACTTTCAACGTCTTCATTGCTTCTTTGGATGTATGAACAGTGCAGCCAGTTTGGTCATATGAGAATCAGTGATGCAAAGCTGTAAATAAATGCCAAATTCAATTTCATATTAAAAGAAGCCTATGAGTCTATGGCACTATGCACATTGAACTGTAAGCAAGTGGGTTGGTAGTGACCACAATGAGTATTAAAAATGAACAATGCTTATGTTTCTTCACCTGAATCAAGTTGCCAAACATGCATGAATCAAATTGGCCTTACTCTCCCCTTTTTAAAGTAGGAAATAAGCCATCAATATCAGACAATTTTAGGGTTTGTTTATAATCAACAGTTCCATCATTTCTAAACAAACTATAATCTGTAATTGAAATGAAAGTAGTGATGGCACTTCCACTGAGTCTATCATAAAAATTCAGAATATTGAATTGATAATTTCTAAACATTTTAAATACCTTCATGCATGAATGAATTACAGCAAATTTAGCATATGAGAAAGAATTTAATAAGTTGTGTTTTGGGTAGTTTTATTCAGCAATATAAGATGCTACAAAATCCAAATATTATCCTGAAAACACTAGTCATATTTTAAAAAGATTCTTGTCTTAACTTTGATATGGATGTCATACATGGTGTTAACTCTCTCAGGGGTGTCTAGACCGTCATTGATATACAATTGTTTTGTAAAATCAGTGGTTAAAAATAGCTTCAACCAAGTTTATCCTACAAATTTTATTTTTAATACAATAATTCATCAGATCCTATAGAATAGTCCTACAAAGTCACAAAGCATTGCTAAATAATAAAAACCACATCACTTGAAAACTTCCAACAGTTGTAACAACAAAAATGGGTAGCACATGTGACTAGAAGAGAAAACAATGATACACTCAATGAATTTATTATGATTTGAATGAGAAAAGAAAGAAAAGGAAAAAAGTTTTCCTGATTTGGGTCAATGATCTTTTTTAGGTAGTCAGGACTTCCATGAAGTAAGTTTATTAGATTATATCTATCATATAGACACAAAGAAAACCCTTATTTGGACACATTTCAGCCCCATGCTGACCCATGGACCCTAGGAGGACATTCTGCAGGTCAAAAAATGTCAATATTTTAGAGAACATATGACTAAACATTACACTTATCAAATCAGAACACATTAAATTGCTATGTAAGGAAAAAATCCTCAAGTCTATCTTAAATTAAAAAGCATCATGTGTTTGAACTGGGTAATCTGTTTTTTTGCAAATTGTACACAATTTTCTCCCAATGTATTTTGATGTGATATGAGTAAGTTAAGGGTTGGATCTCTCCAACAGTCTATGGTGAACCTTTTCAATTTGTTGTTGTCACATTTCCTACTGAGACATTCCAGATAGTTATGAATATCCTTATTGTTTGCTTCTAAGCCTTCCTCAGAATACCATCCTAAGCTTTCCTTACCATTCATTTCAGTCAATTCGGTGCTATGCTGTATGGTCCTATGCAATGTGGGGTTCAGCAAAGCCCAGGGAAAGTTGTTGGTGATGTTAAGCATTGTTTCCTTGCAGTACTGATCAAATTTAACAATGTTGATCTTTCTGTTACACAATACTGTCCGGAGAATAATGCTCAACTGATTGTGCAGTTTTAACATCAATTCTTTGTGTTTTTTGTTGTGCTTAGCAGTTTGCTGATAACTATAATCAACTCATGTACCACTTTTACCTCCTGTGGAATTGATGTAATCTAAGTGCAGCCCAATTTTTTGTTTGATAAAGTCCCTCACCTTATCTTTGGATTTGTCAAGGTGATCACATAAACCAGCCTTCTCAACCCATTTCTTGTAGTCTGCACGACAACACTACAACATTTACAAATATCACATTGTTCTATTTATGTAGGAGTGGATGATAGTTATACAATGCTGGTCAGAATCGGAAAATGGTTGTTGAGTGACACCAGCTCTCGTTCCAAAGTCTCCTTGTTTAATATGGATGTTTCTATCAACATCGAGGACTTAATTGAATATGTTCTGTGTATCTGATGCTGACATGTTGATTTTGAAACTATCTTGTATTTTATTTGGGTCCGTCCAACCTTTAACCTTGGACTTACACAGTATGCAATCCACACCTCCTAAACCAGAAATCAATTTCTTGAACTTAAGGTTTTTCATAGAGTCTTTGATTACACTTGACACACTAAAATTGTCATTACCAACACTAATTTATAAACCATTAGCATTTAAATCATTCCAAGCATGATCGAATAAAGCAAATGACTCAAATAACTTCTTCTCGGAAAAATCTATGACACTATCGGTATCACTTATATTCATTTTACCTGTGAATTAAAAAATGAAAAATGAAATAATAAAACACGCCCTTCAACAAAAATCTAACCCAAGAAATTTGCTCCTCAATACAACACAACACATCATCACTAATTATGAAAGATTTTAATATTTCTGGATTAAAATCCCCAAATATAGAATGAGATCTCAGGACCCCAATACATGAAATTTTTCAATTTTCTTTATTTCATCCAATTTGACTTACTCATACCTATCTAAAAAGCCCCAAATGGCCTTTCTATCATCAACAAAACCAAAATTAGAGCAATTTTAGTGTTTTGGGGGCATAATGCCCAAAGGCTGAAATCCGGTTCCAGACATCTAAAACGTGAAAAAAATATGATTTTTCATATGAAAAAATTCAATTTTGTTGATTTCATTGATATCATGTTGCCCATACCTTACTAAAAAGCCCTTGGTGGCCTTCCTATCTTCAACCAAACAGAAATTAAAGCAGTTTTCATGTTTTGGGACAGTTATGTCTAAATATGGAAATCCATTCCCAGACCCCCTCAAAATATGAAAAAATTCAATTTTGTTAATTTCACTAATATTGTGCTGCCCATACCTTTCTAGAAATCCCTGGATTGCCTTCCTATCTTCAATAAAACCAAAATTATAACAATTTTTGTGTTTTGGAAGTGTTATGCCGTAATATGGAAATCCAGTCCTAGACCTCCCAAAATATGAAAAAATTTGACTTTCTTCATTTCACTGAATTTGTGTTGCCCCAAACGCTTCCAACTAGACCTCATACAATATCATACAATGAATATTTCTGAAATTATTCTCAAATTACCAAATATTGATGTTCTGGGCCCACTGTGTGCCTTTTGCTATTCTCTATTCATTTCCCAACATGTTTTTGATCACTGCTACCATGCTTTTTGGCACAGCATTTAGCCCACTGCCCACTGCTGTCAAGCAGTAGGTATTTACCTTATACTTTAGCAGGTGGTATTTCCATGGCCCTTCTGCCATATGCAGATGAAGATATGTTGACTTCAATTATCTATCGTAGAAGCACCCACCATTTGCCTCGATCTTCACATTGTTTCACCATATACATTAATAACAGTACTGCCTGTTTGACATGCTACATATTTGTTGAGTTCCCTGAAGTTCACCACTGATTAGTCCTGGGTATGATGATAAACTACAACCATCAGCAAGGCCTCTGATCAGGAGATTGGCGGTTTTAAGGAATGTGGAACTACCTCTAGATTGCTGTTGTTCCCAGATCCACCCTGACCCGGGATGGTTGTATTTTTACACTGTGTCCTTGCGAATGTCCTTCTATTTTGTAATTTTATTTTTAAAAATATTTAGTAAATATAAATCTTGTATTTCTTAACCCATTTTGGACTTTTAGGACATTCTGTATTTTAAAAACAATTTTTGCTTTGTTCTTTTACTCTTCATTATAGAAGTTTGTGTTTGTGTCTATGTGGGCTTAAATTAACCTTGTTGAACAAATCTAGCTTACAAAAAATTTTTTTTCAAGTTAAAACTTCTGAACAAATTTGCTTTCATTCATAATTTATTAGTCATATCCATATTCGGTGTCATTCAACTTTGTATCTACACTGATGACACAACTATTTACTCCTGTCTTAATAGTAACTTTTATTGGTTTGATAAGGTCAAATTGGCAGCTGATCTAAAAAGTGACCTAAAATCTACTGTTAACTGGGGCAAGGAATATCTTGTTAATTTTAACAACTCCAAAACAAAACTGCTTTCTATTATTCATTTGAGAGAACCATTTCTGCTTTCCATCAGCAAGGCTTATGCTAACTTCCAGGAGAGTGACTTATTGTGCTTTCTCTGGCTAATGTTCTCTGCTGACATGAAGTGGAAAAATTATATTGAATCAATTCTAGGTCTGCTGCTAGGAATATTGGTTCACTGTGTTGTACTAGACAATTCTTCTCTCTAGAATATATCTTACATATCTATATGTCTACTCTTCTTCTTTCATGATTTGAATATTGCTACCATATATAGTCTAGTGCTCTAGCTATATACTTAGAGATTTTTGATAAAAATCCAAAGAAGAATTTTCAATGTTATCAGTCCTGACCTGGCATCCTAGCTTCAATCACTTTCCCATTGCCATAATATAGATTCCCAGTGGCTTTTCTATAAATACATTCATGGTAATTGTTCTGATGAACTTTCCCCTATGGTAGCTAGACTTTGAATTTAAATGGAGTACAAGATTGGTAGCAGGGTTTCATCATTTTACAGTTAAATTGGCAAGCTGTAACCATAAATTTTTTTGCTAATAGTTTCTTTTCTTGCACTTCTTGCCTGTGGATATCTTCTGGCTTCTTGCTATCCAGTCAACTTCGATCTTCAAAAATTTAAATGCAATGTCAATTGTTATCTACTATTTGATTACTTTTCTTTTATTGTTCTTGTTCCTTAATAATGTTTTTCTTTTTCTTCTTCTTTTACACTCAGTAACCCCTTGTGTCTTAGTGGCTTTATTGCCTTAATTTGATAGTGAAATTATTAAAAAAAAAGAGAAAAAGAAATATTTCTTTTTAAATGTTTAAATAAATTGTTACTGATTTTCCTTGTTTTAGGCATTTTTCTTATCCTTATGGCGATTATCTGGAGATGTACACCAGTCTGGAGCTTATGTGGAAGTTGTATTTTTACACTGTGTCCTTACAAATGGACAGGTTAGTTGCATTGCTTGTTGAAATATTATCATGGAATAAGATAACTCAATATTCAATTTGTCCAAAAAATTACTTTTAATCCAAAGATTATTTAAAATTGCTCTTTGTAGCATGTATTTCACTGTGTAAATTGCTTGTGACCTATAGACCTCAAGTGGAGCTCCTGCCTAAGATCCATCACTAAAGATGCAGGAAAAATAGTCAGTTTCTCATATTTGGCTCCACTTGCTCTCCTTTTCCTAATCTGGCTCTTGTAAAGTAAAATGGAGTACTGCTGTCATCTATGGGCAGTAGCTAACCAGTCTTTACTTTCCAGTGTCGATAGTCTAAAAGTGACTCCGACTCCATGTGGGTGAAAAATTATTTTCCACCTTACAACTCCTTTCTCAAGGATGAAACCTTGCAACCATTTCACTGTTCTATCACTGTTTTCCATGGAAAGTATTCAGAAGAACTACATTCCTTAGTTCTACTATTTCTAAACTTCATGGCTATGATCTGCCATACCACATACACTAGTGAACCACCCTCATTCCCTTTGTATACAATTGGTGATATGTAAACTCCACTTGAGTAGCTCCTTTTTACAAACCACTGCTTTGTGGAAATATCTTCCAAGAGGATGCTTCCCCAATGACAGTAATCTTCGCCTGTCCAAATCTAGAGTCATCTGTTATCTTACCGACATAAACTGCCTTTTTATATGTAACTTTCTACTTTGAGTGGCTCTTGGACCTTGCACAGGGCGAACATCATTGTAAAAAAAAAAAAAAAACCCTTAATATTGGTTTGTTTTAATAATAAAATACAATTGATATATCATAGAAACAGGAACTTTTGTGAAGATTTTAGTTACTTAGTTTATTAATTGTCTTGTTATATAAGATTTTTCAAAATGTCAATATACCTAATTGAATCAAAGGAATACATGCCTTTAAATTTCTTCATTAGAAAATACTTTGCAAATCTGTTCAACTGTAGATTTTAGAAGAAATGATACCTCATTTTATTTTGGCAGAACATTAACAACTGATTTTTTCTTAGTCTAAAAAAAATAGCTTTCGGATATAATACATGATTTTTCTAAAATTATAGGAAATAATTTCTGTATTGTGGCTTTGATTCAAATGTCATTTTTTGAAGACTATTTTCATTTTTGACTAAAGTTTAACATTGCTTATTATTATTCATTCATATGATGAAAAAATGACAAATATATTTAAGAAATTTTTCAATTGTATATTGGTTATATTTTTTGTATGGGTAATGTAGAATTTTTTTATTTACACAAATTTGTCATTTAAAAAAGAATTCTGCTTTTTAAAAGCATTAAAAAGAACATTATTTAATAAAAAGCTGATATGAAAGAAATTAAATAAAAAGCAATCTATTAGCAACTATGTCTCTTTGTTTTTAGAAATGAGATACTTTCTTGTTACAGTAAAAAGACATCTTTATTTATTGTTATGAATTAATGCCTGCTATTTTCATAAGGGAATAACTCCTTGCTAAGGAGGAGCGATAAAACTCTGTGATCAATAAATAAATATAGAGGCACAAAAATGTCATTGTGTTTGATATTATAAAAGAGATTATTAATATTATTTTTTTTTCTTTCTTTTAGGGATTTCTTCTTTTTCTCATTTTTGGTTTAGATACAGAATTTGTGATCAGTCCTTTTGTAGCAAGGTAAGACTTTTAGTTCACACCAATAATAAAAATGCATGTACAAAAATCAATTCATGCAATGTTGAAAATCTACTTGCATCTGAAACAAAAGCGAAAGCAAGTATCAATATATCTGAATAACATATATTTACATATGATTATATATATATATATATATATATATATATATATATATATATGACAAAATGTAGTTTTATAACATACTATATTTATAGGGTAAATGGAATCAATATTTGGGATATAGCATCTATAATGGCCTGAAGTTTGTGTTCAAGCATAGAACTGACTTGCTACTTATACATATAAAGGAGTATTAAAATGTTATCAGTACCATGAACCCCTTCCCAAAATATCTGATATTTAGTCAGGTTTCAGGAAGAGAGCCTGGTTAAGAACTTTTAGCACTCCTTATATATATTTATTATAAACTGTTACATAAGAACATGTTAGTTACTACTACAAAATTCTACATTTCGTTTCAATTTTTAATAAACAACGTCTCATCAGCTCGTTAACAATGATGGTAACCTTTTACTTACTATTTCATCAGGAGAAAATCCAAGGGTTACTAAAATATATATTGGAAGTACAATGGATAATTTTAAAAAACGTTTCTATAATCATCTCTCAACCTTTACTAATGCTGATAAACAAAATATGACTTCACTTTCAAAAGTTTTTTATACGAAGGAGATATATATATATATATATATATATATATATATTAGAGAAAGTTATTCTACATGCTTCTTAGAGAATATAAGTAGAGTAAGCTGATGAAAGAAATTTTGGATTACTTTTGTTGGCCTACTAATATAAACAGCGTGGTCATATAAATCAACACTGCTTGGTGACTGGTAGTTTCTTGCCTTAAGTGTTCATCAGACTATGAAATTACCAGTCATATGCCTACATGTTTATATTGTATATCTATCCTTGAACCCTTTCCCATAAAAATATCATATACAATCATATGAGAGAATATGATATATAAGCTATATACATATATCAGACAAGAGGTAGGTAATTGAATAACAAAGTAGAAAAAATTCTATATGATGTGTTTTTCTCCTACTAAAAAAAAACTACTTCAGAATGTTTTTATTGGTATTTTTATTTATGTAGGGGATGGTAAGAAAATGATAAAATAAAAGAACAAATAGGAAATCTTTATAAATCTAACATGTTTCACTTTTATTAAAGCTTCATCAGAGATCTAACAAAAGTGAAATTTGTTGGATTGATATGTTTCCTATTTGTTCTTTTATTTTATCATCCTCTCAGATTCCGATCTATATTTGATCTACATTTAATCTTTAACCCATATATATATATATATATATATATATATATAAAAAAAAGTATAAAAGTTCAGAGCAGATAACATTAGAAAGATTTTAGAGTCCCATGAAAATAAGTGGATACAACGTCTAAAAACACAATACCCAGCCGGGCTAAATCATAAATTTAACAATATATAATAGTAACAATCAACAAATCAAAACCTACCCACATTTCTCACCCACACAAGACAGACATGCTTATGGAGGAATGGAGGCCTCACACTTATACACTCACCCACACGATTATACACACGTACACACACCATACTCACTCACTCCCTAATGAGCCAAATGATAACACACACCTACAGCAATACACACACTTACACATATCATACTCACTCACTCCCTAAGAACCAAATAACACACACACAAACACTAAACAGAGACACATCCCCTCACCAGGTCCAATAAAACTGTCAAACTGACCAGAGAATTCAGGATAAAATGTATCTATCCAGTTCTTATCTCAAATAACAACTTAAAAGAGACTGTTTGACCAACACAAGGAATGTTAAAAGATTCATGTGAAAAAGATTAAAAAAGTAAAAAAACAAATGAAAACTACAGACAAAAGTTCATTTTCTCCAACAAAAGACATTCATTTCTGTAGTTCACTGCCAACAGCAAGCAGAAATATTTCTCCTCACGATGATGGCCATTTCGGTTGAAACTAGTCAAACGAAAGAATATTAATCTACAACCCAGTGTGTCTAATGATTTTAATTTTTTAATTTTTTATTTTCTTATTGTTCAAAATATATATATATATATATATATATATTCATTCATGCTTCATTAAATAATATAGATAAGTGTTGTCTATTTATTTTATGTAAATTCTTTTCATAATATCTGATAAGCTTAATAACATTATCATTAAAACGAAGAAAAAAAAATCACAATATTGATACATATTTTTTTAATCCAATCTAAGCTTTCGTCTTACATAAATTGAACTCATTATCAAAGATGACAATTACAGTACAATATATTAAGCAATATATATATATATATATATATATATATATATATATATATATATATATACACACACACTTAAAAAACAATTTGAATGTATTCTTATAGAAGGAAACTCTGATTAAAAGTCTTACCTCAAAGATAATTACACACTGTAACATTCCATTGTTTTATTGTCTAGTCATTTTACATTTTTTTATTTTTACATATTTATTTCTGGACATGGATTTCAACATTTAAAAAAAGATTTGTAGATATTTGCTATTTCTTTATATGCAATAAAACTTTGAATTATGTTTTTGTTTTCAGTTTTAATAATAATTATAGCACATTGTATTGCAATTTTCTCATAAAATACTACAAAATGGAAAAAATGAAATTTCCCAAAAATAAAAACGGGAAAAAATGGAATTTACCAAAAGTGGAAATGGAATCAAGGAAAATTTGAAATGGAAAATTGGGGTCCCTAAATCTAACGTGTCTCATTTTTATTAAAGTTTCACAAAGCCTTAATAAAAGTGAAACATGTTAGATTGATGTACATTTTCTTATTCTTTTATTTTATCATCCTGTTGGATTCTGATCCATATTTGATTTGCATTTGATCTTTAACTCATTAAGAGAAATACAGGGATGGTTAACGTTAAAATTAAATTTTAAATTTCTGGTGTCTGATGTGTTCAGATGGACCAGCTAAAAAACCTCATTCAACTTCCTACTGCTTCTGTTTTTAATTACTGTTGTTTTTAGAAAATGATGTGCTGTAAAAACCTGGACGTAAATTTACCATGAAAGACTCAGAAATTAGTACACTTTGTGTATATTTTCACCTTAATAAATGACTTTCTTCTTTAATTAAATCTGCATTCTTTAAGTTAAAATTATTGTCAAATGATTATGATTAAGGCACTGATACTTTTATTTAAAATCCTAAATGTTTCATTTAAATATTTCTTGAAGAGAAATTCATTGAAAACCTTCTTGAACTCCTCCAATATCGTAATTATTTCATGTAATGCTCGTTGTAAAGCTCATATTCATAAAAATAAGAAAATATATAATCTTGATGAAACTAGTCACTTAATACTGACCTACAACCTCAATGACCTAATATAAAATTTGTTACAACTACTACAAAAACAATAAGATACAATTAATACAAAATAAAATATCAACCTAAAACTTGAAGTGTTAATTTATACTATAGACTATAAAAATGTTAAAACTTTAAACAGAATCATTAGAAATATTAATAAAATATTTTATGTTAGCTTAGGCTGTCTATTTGAGTCCTGATAAAATATGAATGAGTGCGGACATGTATTTACTAAATTTGAAGTTTAGTAGAAATCAGGATAGCTATCTACATTTATATCTTTCTCTCATTTTTGAAATTATATTATACTATTTTTTAGATGATCTATTCATTATTCCTTAACTGATGGAATTTAGTTGAAGCTCATAATCCTCAAGATACTTGATGTTAATATGTTTTTATCTTTTTGATTCTTAGGTGTCGTCGTTTATTTTGCATAGCTAATTGCTCTGCAATTTGTGCTGATGCAAGAGATAAACAGAATGAAAATGTGAATAAAATATGCCATCAGTTTAGTAAATATCACAGAACAAATTGCCAAGCTGAAATAGCTAAGGATATTCGGTAAGTCATTTAAGTCATTTTCTCTTGATAATTATTGGCATAACAACAATTATTCTCACTCTTTTGTACCTTTATTTATTTATTTATTTATATATATATATATATATATATATATACACACAAATTTATTTATAGCACAAATAATAAAAAGCCACAAAAAATAATAACCACCAATAGCACAAGCAATGACCCTCTCCAATACAATTGCAGAGACAAAATCATATGTTCACTATAAGGAAACTGCCTACAAACGAACATAATATACAAAGCTAAGGTAAATGCAAAAACACTACAATGAACTTTGGTGCCACAGAAGCAAAGAAAAAGCAAAGAAAATACTGCCACAACCTCTCATTCTCCAACAGAAAATACTTCAACAGCACTATACTATCTACATACATATGACCATTAAAAGACAAAAACATCACACCAAAAATAAGCTGGGAAATCATGAAAACTGCACCTACCTATAATAACATATATGGAGATATCTACTTTTCTCCATGAAAAAGTGGCAGTAATCTCCCACACTCAACAAAAAGAATTACTAAACCAAAGATTGGAAATAATTTCAAAATGCAGACATGAAACTATCACAGTTCATACCAAGCAGATAATACCTACAACAAAACTGAACACAAACAGGAAAGAACCTACCAAAACAAATGGTAAAAACACTAAAACACAAGAATACCAAAACCACCAAAAGGAACCAATGATATTACTTGCACTGTTGTCAACATTATCACCACACCACCCCCATGAACACAACCACCATAACAATTAGTACATCCATCACAAGAGATAAAACCATTAACACTTCAAAATTATTTTTTCGTGATAACTACTATTACTTTTGATATTAATATTGTTGCTACCACTTTTTGAACTTACTGAAAATAACTACCACTATTACTTTCACTATTAGTACTGTTGTTATCACTTTAAGAACAATCACTTCATAACCATCTCTACCACCATTAGTACTGCTTTTCATTGTGTCATTGTTTTCATTATTATTATTATTACCATTACCATCATCATTATTATGGTTAACACAACTATTATCATAATTACGATTGTCATTTTCATTTTTTATTGCTCTTATTGTTATTATTATGATTATTTTTTCCATCATCATTAAGGTTAACTTTACCATTTATCATAACCAATAACGCATCAATTATTATTAATATATCAATAATAATATCTCAGTTATTATTACCATTAACAGCCGACCTTAAAAATGTCAAGACCACCCCCACCTGTTTATTGTTAAGAGAACATTGCTACATATGTAACGCTACAGTCACAACACCGAAATAGAACGAGAATTGTGTATATATGTATGCTTGAACGCATGGATGTGTAACTGTGCCTAACCTCAGATCATTTATATGGGTGTGTTTGTATGAACTTAAATGCATACTCCTGTATGCATATGTCTCTATGCATGTGAGAGTGTCATCCCGAACAAACACTGAAGAAAATTCCTCACTTCCACCACACACAAATAATCAAACACAAATAAGCCTGAATAGATCCACTTTTGACAAAATAAACCAGTTTGTCTGATGATTGCAAAAACAGGGAAACCTGGGGTTACAAACTACTTCCATGCAACTGAATATGCTAGCTCTATCACAGATATTGAATACATTCCACTAAGTATCGCACATATAAAAAGGTTGAAAAGTCTAGGTACCTAGGAGGAAAGTACATTAGAACAATTGCTATGGAAGTGTTTATACAAAAGACACAGGGAAACTACATTATAACAGTGGGAAAGTCACTGATGCTGAGATGCCAGGTCAGAACCAGTAACATTGCCGATTCTTTGGATATTATCAAGAATCTTAAAATATATAGCCGTAGCACTGGACCAAATGTAGTAACAATATTCAAAGCAAAGATGAACGTGATGATTTTTTTTTAAATTGGCTAAAAGAATTAAAAAAAAAAAGTTAACTGATATTTTCACCTGTTAATATTTTAGATTCAATTTTGTTTCTTTAGTTCATTAAACAAATTTCTTTTCTTCAGGTATGGCCTTAATGTGCACCATGCTGCTTTTATGGGAAACATACTATGCAGATGGCTTATCAATGCAGGATTGACTGAAGACAGTTCTGAATCTTTGGAATATGGACAAAAATTGCTTCAAGGGAACATTATCAAAAATGTCAGTAACAATAACCAAAGTTTCTGCTCAGGATATTTGTACTGTTTCTCTTGAACTCTTTTATTCTAAACTGAATTTTAGATCTTGTATGATCCACTGGGAAAGTGGATTACTCTTGAAATGTATTATCATTCTTGGGGGTGATATTTTTTTTTTTTTTTTATACATTATCTCAAAATGTAATTTTTTTTATACATCTTGATGCCTTTCATTTAACTCTTTTTTTTTTTTTTTTTTTTTTTTTTTTTAGCTGTAAATGAAGAATAAAAAGCATTATCAAGCTGATAATGCACCATTTCTGAAAAAGAAATTCAGAAAATAGAGAAAATTTCTCTTTACAGTAATTTATTAAAAAATTGTTTTCAAGCATTTATTTTTAAAGTTCAATGCCACTGCTGATAATAAAAAAATCTGCTTCTTTAAAAAATTATTTATCAAAACTCTAGTGCAAAAAAAAAAGATAAAAATAAAAAACAAAAATAAAGCAAAAATCAAAATTTCCACCCCAAAAGTAACTACTACTCCCTCCCCACCAAAAAAAATTTAGGATATTAATAATAACCTGCTGCTCAAGGTAAGTGAATATGATTTATTCACACTTTGAAAGTCTGGACACTGTTAAATTCGTAACTTGAGTTAGCGCTACCGGTGATGGCGTAATTTTTCACAGAAAAATTAAAGCATTTATATTCCGTCTCCACCCAAAACTGAAAAGATGCAAACAAAATGGAGCCCATTTATTTTATTTTGAGTTGATTTCCCTCTACTATATAATAATTTTGATATTGTTTCTTATAAACTCTTAGTAACTTTTAAGTTGAACATTTTTTATATGGAAGCTGATAATCTTAGGAAAGACAATTTTAAGAGTGTGTGATATTTTTTTTTTTTTTCTTTAAATGCCATGTCCCTTCAGGTCAAAAGTAATGATAGCTCTCTACAGATTCCTTTCCTTTATTATCTGTGAATTGCTGTGCATTTTTGGGAAAGATAGCAGAGAGTTTTGTAGTTGTTTTCTCAACAGTTTTCCTTCCTTCTCTTAGACTGGTTGCCACTCGGAATCCCAGTTTAATTCTCCTATTTAACCCATAGCTTGGGAGAGAAGTGATGGCTTCATGCCTTTCCCTAGAAACTGTTGTGTGAAAGTGAATGTAACAGACCCATCTGGAATTTGAACTCTGCTCATTAATTCCACTTTCTGCATCAAAAACCATTACAGAAAGCAGCAGAAATTTACAGACAATCATAATGAAAACATTTTGAAAATAATTTTATTCCAAGTGAATAAATGATTGTCAGGTTTAAGATTATTTTTTTTGGTTCTAAAGATGAAAAAAATTTTTTGTCAGTTGAAATTAACTGATCATGTGTTATTAATTGGCAGAATCTTTGATGAACATTAGTTCATATTGTACAGAGTCTGTATGATTGTTTTGAATAAAAACAGGAATTTCTTTATTTGAATTTGAATATTTTTTAAAAGGTAAGTGATTCTTTGATAGATTTGAAAAGAAAAAATTGACATGCAGTCTAATCATGTCAACAGAGTGGGTTGTCCATCAAAATACTTCATAGCATCCACATGCTTCTTCCTGGTGTTGTTTACATGACACATCATAGGAGTTTCGGTTGCATATATATTAGGCATTACTTTTTGTTCTTGCAGCTCCATCTAAACTGAAATAATTAGGCCTCATTCATTGTCAAGTGTAAAGGGTCATTTTACAGTTCAATGCCAAATATCTAGTCTGTTAGAGCCTACCATTGACCACAGCCGTCCTGTTGTTACTATCTTCACTGTGATCTTGGCAGGGGTGGCTTCTGCATGCCATACTTTGCCAAAAAGCAACTTGTGATTTGGTTGGTACAGTTTTGAATTCAGAGTTGTCCTTCTCCAACTAGAGAACCTAGTGTGCCCTTCTATTTATGCCATATGTAAAAATACTTTATAATTCTGTCTCCTTAATGGTAAAAATCTTGTGTAAGTATATAAATGTTTTACCATCTTCCTTATTGCAAATATAATTTAGAAATTTAAAAAAATATTGATTGACTTAAATCTACTTGTAAATTAAAATGTTGCTTAAGTAAGCTTTCATGATAAAATGAATCTATCTATCTATCTATATATATATATATATATAAAAACTAATTTTTACGCTAATTACAGCATGTGTACACCCACATACAAATGTTATATATATGTGTGTGTGTGTGTGTGTGCATATTTTGGCAGTAATTGTTCTTGCAAACAAATCTTCTTAAAAAGAATAGACATTTATGTCTACTAAATTTAACTTTTTTTTTTTCTAAAATACAAATAATTTTTTGATTGTGGCTGTTGTAGATGTGAAAAAATAGCCCAAATTTGTGTTAGGTTTAAGCTTTTGACTTTCATGAGTCACTGTCAGGAGTCTGAGAAAGTTAAAAGAAGGAAAGAAAAT